AATAATAATAAGTTGACTTTGAATATAAGTAAAAGTGTTTTCATTGCTTTCTCAATTTATAATACGTACATACCATTCGATGATATTATTATTCACTCTTGTAAAAATCGAGATTTAAATTTTAAATTATGTAACTGCCAAAAATAAGTAGGGTTAAGACAGTTAAATATTTAGGTCTTGTTTTAAACTGGAATTTACGGTGGAAATAAAAAAAAAAAATAATAATTACATATTTATGTTGTTTTGTTGATAATTACACACAATCTGGTGTGATCTACTCACATCTACAGAAATGTGGAACAACACAATCAGCATTCAGTGTGGGAAATACTAGATGTTCCATCTATTAGTATAAGATCCTTGATTATAATATGTCTTTAAATTGTCTCATTGTCATAATGAGTAGTGTATTTTAATATACAGATTAATATTTTTTATTTTCTTAGACAATTCAAATGTTAATTTATACACCTCCCGTACTCACACATGTGACCAACTGAGAAGTGAAGATTGTGGAAAATCAGTTATTCTTTGTGGTTGGTTAGAGTATGTACGATTAAATCGTTTTATAGTTCTAAGGGATGGCTATGGTTCAACGCAACTCATTACTCCTGAAAACGCAAGTATTGTTATTATTTTTTTCTCAATTGTATCTGTAATTTTATCAACCTATTAATTACTATATTTTAAATTAGGCACCGAATTAAATGATTTTATTAAAAAAATTCCTCTGGAATCAGTTTTGATGTGTTATGGTAAAGTAAAATTAAGGCCTGTTGAGGAAATAAACAAAGTGAGGTTTATTTGTATATTTATATATACATATGTAAATATTTACATATAACTTGTATATAATTTTTTATTTGTGTATTTATGTTAACTATAGAATCAAGCAACAGGAATGATAGAAGTAATCATTGATCAATTACTGCTACTTAATGCTGTTGACACCAAATTACCATTTCAATTACGAAAGTTTAATAAGGTAATCTTATTTATGCATAACATAGCAATATTTATGTATGGCAGTTCCAATATTATGTTGTTAACTTAATATTTTAGTGAATTTGTATCAATTAATTTAATGAAACTTTAAATAAAACCCAAGGTATATATTCTCTTGTTGGCTTTTTAGGATATTTTAATTTTTAAATTATAGTCAGTCCTTCTTGAGAGCGCAACTTTGTCATACATCCAATTGGCAAGGTGGTCTCATTTATTCCACCATGTGGATGATGTCGCCAACAGTCATACATAAACTAAGATCTATGAAGTGTTGTGGTTGCCACTTAGTYGCTCTCTTCTCAAACTGGACTGTATAATTATGACTGTTAAGACTATGGAAAATATTTCAAATTCAAAATGGTTGTAACTCAATTACTATTAAAATATTGCCAAAAACTAACAAGATAATACACACACATCATTCCTTTACATTTTATAATAGATTAAATGCACTCTGATATAAAGCTTATCACACAAATTAAAATTGCTGAACACAAATTGCCATGTTGTCCATATGTTAGACAAGAAGTAGTGACTACATGCTGGTGTGACAGCCTCTTTATATTAGTTTTTATTGAAAATGTAATATTGATTATAGGCAAATGAATCGTTAAGATTAAAATATCGTTATGTGGATTTGCGATATCCTGAAATGCAATATAATTTGCGCCTAAGATCAAAGTTGTTGATGAAAATGAGAGAATTTTTGATTAATCACCGTTCGTTTGTTGAAGTTGAAACTCCTACATTATTCAAAAAGACGCATGGTGTAATTATTATTCAAATAATTAATTTATATTTATTTTAATTAGTCTATTGTTATTTATAGGGCGCACAAGAATTCATTGTACCAACTCATGAAAAAGGAAAATGTTATTCATTAGTTCAAAGCCCTCAGCAATTAAAACAAATGTTGATGGTTGGTTCCATAGATAGATATTTTCAAGTAGCAAAATGCTACAGAGATGAAGGTGCTAAATCTGACAGACAACCAGAATTCACTCAAGTAAACTTAAGTCAATAAATAAATAATATATAGTGTGTAGTATAATATATAACTTATAGGTATAAAGTAAGACAGAAGACTTTAATCGATTGTATATTTGTTTTGCGTAGTCATAAAAACAAATGGCCTGCTAGAAACACATTTGTTTCATTTTATGAATAAGCTAAATCTGTAATTTTATATTGCATTATTTTGTATGTTTAGGTATTGTTTGCCTTTTGAAACACATTTTGTTCACCTTATTTACCAGTATAATTAATTTTTATGCTTTTTGAAGTGTATACTCATATTTTTTAGAAGGCAATTTATCCACAGTTGCTTTAAAATTTAAATGACTTTTACCAAAAGAAAAATAGTTTTTATACCATTAGACTTTAAAATCCTCCACATTTTATCGCTGTAGCTGCGGGTCTATTTGAGTATATACTCTTACAAACTTGAGGATTGTCTGTTTCTTTAATAATTATACAATGTTATCATTTTAAATACTATTATTTGATGTTTAATTTAAAAAATATTTAATTTTGCTTATTAATTAAGCCGCTAGAACATAGTTTTAGTTTATATTTTAGGGCTTCCTCAGTCCTAATTATACATTTTTAGTATTGACAAATTTTTTCAGTTGGATATTGAAATGTCATTTACTAACCAAGATTCTGTGATGTTACTCATTGAAGAGTTGTTATCGTTTATTTGGCCATCAGAATTGGGTAAAATTAAAACACCATTTCATCGATTGTCTTATGAGGAAGCAATGCTCACATATGGTAGTGATAAACCAGATATCGGATGTAGTACAAAAGTAATACTTCAATAAAACTAACTTTTTATTTCATTTTTTTCTTTAAAATATTCAGCTATCTAGTATCTTCCAATAAGTATGGATTAACTATCCAAAAATCTTAGATACATGCTTTTCTACAATCGTATAACATTAAAAAATTTTTCACTCTTATATTTAATTATAAAAAACTTTTGATTTTCAAATGACAACCTATAATAATAATTGTATAAATTAATAAATCTATTTTTTAAAAGATTTTTCCCACAAAATTTTTAATTTTCGTTAATCCATTGGCGAGTTATAGCTGCTCAAAGTTGGGTAGAGTT